CGTCATCACAACAAAGGTTGGGAAAGGAGGAACATCCATTACTTGTTTTGAACTTAATAAATACCTATAAACTTTTACAAAGGCGAAGATATGCAAATAATTTGCTACAACTTGTCAAAGCGTGCGTGCACTTAGAATGTATGCATTATTATTAACATAATTAGGAAACAAAACACAAACAYAATTAGGAAACACAAGAAGGTTGATAACATTCACACTTAGCGCACGTGGGCACGTTTGCTAGCAAGGCACTCTTTTCATCATTCGTACAAGAACATTGAACACGATGGAAAACGTGAAAAAACAAAGAAAAGCAAGAAGAAATTATACAGAACTGGAGGATATTCTCATTCTTCAGGCTGTAAATACATGTGGGAGAGAGAGGAAAAGCGTGTTGAGCTACATGAGACGACACGCAGAAGTGATGGGAGAAGCAGGAGACCAGTATTTGGTCGAGGATAAGTCCGCTTGCAAGGCTTTACAAGAGCRCCTAAGAAAACGAGCTTCTAAACTGCTCAACAACGCTCTACTTACAAGGTACAATCAATTATTAAACAGGTGCAAAGTGCTTTCCGTAAGTTAAAAGAATAATAATATAAAATTATTCTTATAGGAATGACGATACCRCGTCAACAGACAAAACGCAGCGGGAAACACCATCAACATCAAAAATAATTGATGATGAATACGAGTCTTCTCAATCTAGCAGCGAGGAAAGTGCTAAACAAGAAATTGCAGAAATTTGTAAGGCTATTAATACTAGGGAAACGAAGTATGTGGTTGACGTGGATGACAAAAACCTACAGCATGACGACTCGACAGAAATTCTCAAGAAGATCAACAATAGAAGGGAACTTGAGAAAGAGGAAGATAGGTAATTTGATAATAATTTAATATTTTGTAATAATTTGTGCTCAAATTCTTAAATATGGCTTGTAAGACGTGGTTTTCATGTGTTGTTTTTATCTTAGGAAAAGAACTTCAGTGAAGCCGCAGAACAAGTCTAGCAAAAGACAAAAAGTGATGAGAGAGGATAGACTTGACCGCTTGCTGGATGCAATCCCTGGTGTTCTCGAGTCAGCTCAAACTGCTGCTCGAGAGCATAAGAAAGCTTTGGCAAGCTGGAGGGCTATTCATGGTTTGGTGTCTTCTAACGAAGACTAGAATATTTATTTGTCTTTTGTGGCAGTTACGTTTTGTACGTATATGTACATGCTAACATGATATCTGTCTGATGAAGACTAGAATATTTATTTGTCTTAATTGTAGCAATTACGTTTTGTATCTGTCTGATGAAGAATGGAATATTCAGTATTATTGTCTTGTAGCTGACTACAAATTATTAAAATAGTTTTCTTGTCATTAAGTGGAAAGTCAGACTCATTTCTTGGTAGCTACGATTAACATGCAGTGAAGCTCGGGGCCCAGRGATTGAGAGGTCCTTCAGGATAAAGAGGATAGGGATGCTCGTTGACGAGAAATCGGAAAAAAAATACCCTATATAAATACAAAGACGATTCAGAAGTTAGTTTGATTTAGTTTACGGCACCTATTCAACGGTTTGACTGAATTCACAACGCATCAGCTACGCGATGTACCTATTCCGTTAGTATATGCCTATTCCGCCTATAATCCGCTAAATCGGAAATCTCTAGTATGAGTTTACTCTTAGTAGATCTATGAATCACTAGAATCATGAGTGCTGCTTGGATTCATTTGTTTATAGTTTCTTTGCAACGAGTAAACTATAAGATGCCGTATTCCAGTATGAGTTTACTCTTAGTAGATCTATGAATCACTAGAATCATGAATGCTGTTTGGATTGTTTATAGTTTCTTGGCAACGAGTAAACTATAAGATGCCGTATTCCAGTATGAGTCTAATCTTATAGATTACTAGATAGTATGAATCACTAGAATCATGAGTGTTGTTTGGATTGTTTATAGTTTCTTGGCAACGA